TACCCTCAACCCTGCAGCCTAGGCTTAGGATTGGGGGTCTTTGTCCTTGGATTACGTTTGCGGTTTGGCACTGTGGAATACAGATGACAGCAGGGGTTGGCGAGCGTAGGGTTCCCATGACAAACTATGGAAAGCTTTGTATACCATCCTGTACTAGGCGTTAGGGCTTAGGATGAAGTACGTACATCAACCCAGCGCCGCATTTGAAGTCAGATTTTTTTTGTTTGATGGATGTCGGTATGCTCCGCTATGTCTGTTTGTTTTTTTTCCTGTGGCTGCGCATGTGCAATGCAAGGGTCTACTGTTGGAGGAGGAACTCTACCAGCCTAAGTCCCATATATCCCAAGCAATGCAGTAGTGTAAGTGCCCTAAGTAGCGTAAGATTCAGCAGTATCTAAAGCCAAGATGACCCGGGCAGCATTGTGACCACGAAGACTTGTAACCATTAAAGGTAGCATGTTCAGGCGACGCCTGTGTGGCGAGAGCGTAGGATTTTGTGGCAAACTTGATTGACGTGAGTGGGGAATGGAGGAGTGGATGCCTATGTCAGCCCCCATACAAGACCCATTCTTCTGCATTCCTTCCCCAATAACAGCCCGCGAGTAAGCGGCATTTATGCCTGGTTGTGACCCTGGGTCTTCATGTGCCTTCTTGGTTTCAGAACATTGGATTCAGGGTTTAGCGTTGGTTTCAGGTTCCAAGGCTAGAGTCGATTAGGGTTCAGGAAGCTTTTCAAGGCTTGCTGGCGAATCCTCACGGCACACTCCCGTACTCTCTACAAACCATGGATGCGCACCTTGTCTTCCCTCATCTTAACGTGGGAGGTTCTTCCAGATACACCCAATGGAATGCCCAAAAGGGTCCTCCTATCACTCTCTTGACAACCCCCATATAGTGGTTTCCCAAAATAGACACCAAAATACAAAAATATTTTATTATAGGGACCCCCAAAAGGGTACCCCTAATTTTGGGAAACCCCCAAATATCCCTAAACCCCAAACCCTAAAACCCTAAAGCCTAAACCCTAAAACCCTAAACCCTAAACCCTAAGTCCTAAACCCTATCCCTAACTAGGGTACCTTGGGCAAGCAACAGGCCTACGAGATTCTGAAAGCCGAAGCAGAAAAGGAGGGGAAGGCTGGCGTCTGGGTTGTTGAGGGCTGGGGTTTAGGGTTTAGGGTTTAGGGTTTAGGATTTAGGGTTTATAGGTTTTAGGATTTAGGGTTTAGGGTTTAGGGCAGCTGAAAGGAATCTGGGAGTTCAAGATTCAGGGTTTGAAGCTTCAGGATGTAGGGTTATTTTGGGTCTTGAAGTTGCGATTTCAGATTGCATGTTCAGGATTTGGCTTCACAGATTTGGGTTTAAGGTTGGCTTTAGGGTTTAGGGTTTAGAGTACAGAGTTTCAGGCATTCACCCAAATCCCTGAAAGGTATTGTTGCTGCGCCTGCTGTTGTTGAAGTGCCTGATACGTACCGCGTGTTCTTGGATTCCCACTAGATCACGTTGAGGCTGTTAGGCCTTTCACTACGGACGTCGGCAAACATTCAGCAAGACAGGAGAGAAGTACCACAGATGATGCAAAAGACATGTAACACAAATGAGCGCATAGGTACCCTCCATGCACACTAACGCAAGATGGGCTGAGGGAAGATTGGGGGGACGCTGAGGGACTAGAGAGGTGTCTCGCACTTTTTCACTACCTATCAACTCAGCGCCACCTTAAAAAAGGATGAGAAGCATTCATGCACCTACCACACCTCAGAGCAGAAGCTTCAATCGTATTGGGGACTTAGGGGGGAATGGAGTGAATACGGGGGATGGGGGGTGTTGCTCAGAAGAGTTGCTTTTTGGGACACTAATGGTATGATAAGGAGAGTATTGGGTAAAAACTTGGGGTTATGTAGGGATTACGGTAAGCAACTCCCATATACGTAATCAGAACCCCAAGACCTCGGGTTTTGAGTACTCCATTGTAATCCCTTACCAAAAAACCATAGCAAAGCCTACATAGGAGCTCCTGGGTACTCATCCCCATAAACCCCTATGGAACCAAATATACCTCTATGTAACCCTATAAACCCCTGAGCCTTTGGGTACTCACAGGAGCCACCGGAGAAGCCTCCAGATATGGATCTGGAGGTTCCGAAGGATCGCTGGGGCCCTTGGAGTTGGTTGGTGTTTTGTGGAGTTATGTACCCCCTTGCAAAGAAATAAGCAAAGCTGTAAACCTTAGAAGAAGGTACCAGAATCTGGGAATCGATGAAGAGTCTCAGGTTCACTGCTGTGCCTGTATTCTTTGAGGTGCGACGCTCTATCCCTTGTGATTTTAAAGCGTGCCTGAAGCAAGTGTTAGTCTGGTGCTACAAAGCAGCAAAGAAGCAAGACAGGCTCCGACATCCGAGTTTCTTCAAAAAGCTCCACCTGTTTTGCTCCCCTACGATTTGATTACCTTTGCCTGCTGCTTCTGTGAAGATGAGCCGCCTACGCTGCTGGTATCATCGTCATCACGATATGTTTGTGTCCTCCTCATCCTCCGCTCTCGTCCTCGTCTGCCTCGTAGTTAACAAAATTTCCCTACCTGTTTAGAGCCCAGCTCGAACTGGCAGGAGGCGCCCAAGACTGAGCTCGACTACGTGGACGTCTTCGGCGTTGAGGACGTGGACGATGTGGGTACAGGGGAGCCGCTGCACCACGACTGCAAGAAAGGCAAGAAATGCGTGTAGTCACTACAGTTACCACTTGGATCTCAGAGGTTTACAGCGGGTGCCGCAACCGGGCAGCCGGTATCTTAGCATGAATCGATCCCCAACCCTCAAGGTCCATCAAGAAAAAGCGTCTTTTGCCATGGCTCTCTGCTTCTTGGATCATGATTTGATGAGGAACGTACGAGGAGCATCCGTAAAGTGATTGTAGTGTGACATTCAGGATATTGCTCACGCTGTGACGCCATGCTGCACAATTGCCCCTTCATTCTCGCACGCCTCAAGAACAAGAACAATCCCCAATTATGTCAACCACCCTTCTAGTCCTCAGCCCCATGCGTGCTCCTCAACTCTGCATGCAAAATTCGTGCCAGGTATTCAGCTTTCCAGTTCGAGGCCCCGGAGTCAATGATGGCGTTTCCAGATTGTAAGAACCGATAGGTAATGATTAGTAATGTGAGGTCCTGATCAGTGACTAGTGTAGGGGATCTCCCCTTCAACAAAAAAAGACCCCTCATCAATATGATGGGGCAGGGGTCCCCCCAAACGAATACGTGCGGATCCTATAGTCTTAAATTGATTTCAACATGAGCTCTCAGGATCGGCTCTGGTAAAGGCTCCGAAGGGTTTCAGGGGGCATTTAGAAGGCTTCTATTTCAGTATGTTCAGACTCTTTTGGCCGCGAAATTTTCGCCGATTAAGGGCCAAACGAATCATGGGGTGCTGCCTCATTTTTAGCGAAGCTTCACGCAATGAAGGCCCCCCACACTCAGCGGGATGAAATATTACAGATGGCTGCAGCAGCAATCTACAAGAGAGTATGAAACAGGCTTTCTGTGCTCATAGAACCCGTCAAGACTGAAGTTGGTAATATTTGTCACATATGCCTGTCCAAAAGAAAGAGTTGCTAACTTGCTGGCTTGATGCCACATCCTCCTGGCTCTGTGGTATGCAGGAATACTTGCTGTAGCTCCATACTGGCCTTTCAAAGGCCCCAAATCGTACTCACATAGCTGTGCTTCTAGGTCTTAGGACTTCCATCAACGCATCTCCGAATGCATTCCCATTTTCGAAAATGGTTTAGGCCGGGCACGGTATGCCACAGTGCCTGTGCGGCGACAAGTTTTAAACTTGGGCAACTGCTTGGTGCAAGCTTTGGCGTTATTGTTCTGGACCCCTTCTTCTGCAGGGTCATACACGAGACAATTGATCTCCAGCACTTGAAAAATCCCCATTTCTGCGGCATGCGCAGAACTTGGGATAGCCGGAACAGAATCATAGCAGCAAATGGTCTCTCCAGAGTCATGCCTTATGAATCACATGAAATCTTCACCGCTTGCCCCTGAAAGCTGACCTGCCACGGCACGAGGACTGGACGATGTTAACGCTTCGATTCGAGCTCCACATACTGTCGCATGCCCCCTGGACGGCAAAGCACGCAGCAAGGCGAAGCGCCCGATTGTCCAGAAGTTTGCAGATAATTGGCCACGGAAGGAGTTGTTGTTGCAGAGGGCTGGGAGAGAGTGTGCTCTTTGACGCTGTCAGTTCTGAGGGCTTCGGGCTTTCGGGGCCGATCGAAAGACACTTTCTATTGGAACTCCATGCCGAGGCACATGAAAAAAGAGTCTCCTCCTCAAAGTGGGTACAGCATGTTCTGTGGAGCCACAGGAACAGATACTCAGTTTTGTCTCTTGCGGTCTTGCAATCGTGAAGTTATTGTGCTAGGTATGCACACGCGACAATGAAGCATATTTGCAGAACATTAAAGTTGTGTCATACCCCAACAAAACCAAACCATAGTAGCATTCACATGAGCAGCGGCAAAAGGGCTTGCACTCGCAAATTCAAGCCTGCAATAGTGGAGGCGCAGTTTTGGTGTGGCTCCACACTTGCATGCCATGCATATCAAGAAGCACCTGGAGTTCGCGAAGTGTTTTATGGAGAGATAGCGCCTGAATTGTCCAAAGCCCAAATCTGCATTTCACCAGTTTGGATTGAGGAAGGGGCGGGCAGAGGCCCTCTACTAAAATACTGAACATAAGCCGACATGGAATTATTCGGGCTAAGTTCAGCCATCCAAGAGTCGACCTGACGCCCCTCGACCTCCCGGCCGCAACTTGCATTCCTTTCATGCTACATCGCTTCGTGTGGCATAAGTATCTGCTGGGTCAGATCTTGGCATTGCAGTATATTGATGTATATTGACTAGCTACACCTGGTAACAAATAGGCCCTGTATCAAAGTCCCCTCAAGCTTTTGTTTGTGAACTTGTTTGCCACGGCTTTCTGCCAGCCCGCCATGGACCCGGACGAGCCTGCACCGTCTCTGAAGAACGACTTGAAGGCGCCGATCGAAGTGCGAGAGGGTCAGGGCTGGCGGGTGCTCTACCCCGGCCGGAGCCTTGTGCTGGATGGTACTGAGGCCATGGTGCGCCTGCGCGAGTTCCCGGCTGCTGTGGGCCGTTGCCCTGCCAGCGCCGGACTACTTGCCTCTAAACACTTTGGACTGTGGAGCGTCGAGGCAGTTCAACAAGACCAAGAGGAGGACAGAGCCGTGTCTTTCGAGGCGCAGCGCCGGAGAGCGGGGAGAGAACGCCAAGAGAATGAGGTGGAGGAAGCTGTTCTTCGGAAAAGCGACCACAAACTGTCCGACTCAGCCCTTTCCGCCTTCCTTCTCATCATTGCCATCGTTTCCACATTCTTTCTGACGTTGTTTGCAGCCTCCGCAGCCTCCTCGCCGCGAGCGGAAGATGTGACCGAGGCCGAAGCATTGGAGATTGGAGCCATAGCTCTCGTGTTGTGGAGCTGCCTCTCTTTCAGCAGAGTTGCCTTTTGTAACTCCGTCACGACGGGCTGCATCACACGGTCAATCGACCTGTCCATTTGTGTGGGCTTCTTCTCCTTTGTGGCCTTCACAGTGCATCTCGCCATGCTGGGCTTCTGGCAGATATCCCTCATCATGTGGTCCCTCAGTCTCTTCTGCTGCGGATCGCTGCTGTGGCGCGGGTGGCGGGGCCGGTTCAAGGTCGGCCCCAGCAACGTGCTCCCACCGATCCAAAACGGAGAGAGGCTCACAAGCAAGTGCCTTGCAGGTGTCTGGATGTGTGTGATCGGCTTTGTTTTGGTGTCGCTCGGGTACTTCGCAGCTATGAGGCCAGAAAATGTAGCACAAGGGAATAGTCTGGGAGTGGTGGCCGTCTTCTTGTGGTGTGGCCTCAATATCTCGAGCTCTCTAATTTTTCGGGCAGGAGGACGGAGGGGGGCTCAATTTGTCTGCGGTAGCTCTGCGGCGATGGCAACACATTGCGCATATCCTTCCTACTGCCTCGGCTTCCTGTTGCTGGTGGCGCTCACAGTGCATCATGCCCTCCTGGGTTTCTGGCAGACCTCCCTCATCGTGTACCCGTGCAGCTTCTGCTGTGCTGGATTCAGCTTGTGCCTCCGAAGGCATAACAATTTCTCTGCAGAAATCCAGAGGACCTGGAATGAGGCACGTCAGGAGGTGCTTCAGCGAACCATCGTTTTCGAGGGCTCTGTGCTGGAAGGGCCCGGGCGCCCCTGTGTCTGCTCCTGGCCTGGCAAGTAGCTCGGCCAAAGCGGGGCAGAATCAATTTGAGGGCCAGCGATAACAGAGTTTCTAGTTTCAAGTGTCGAAGAAGCAAGGTGGGGTACTGCCCCCACTCATTAGCAGTTGAGCAAGAATTATGGTAGGGGCGGCATGGGTAAATAAAGCCCACAATACTACTGTTGCTACCGCACGTATATGTAGACTGTTCATGGGTGGGGGCAGTACCCAAAAGCAAGGTATGAGGGCGCCTGGGATGCTTTGGTTGCCTCTAGCCGGGAGGGCCAGGTGAGCGCGGCGGTGGTCTTTTTGCCGGACGGCACCGCAGACTTTGGGAAGCACGATCCAATTCCTTCTCAAGAAGGCTTGTCTGGCCAGTGTTGGTGCACGCCGCTCTATGGAGAGGAGAAGCCGTGGGGATGTCGGTGGTGGAGCAAGTGGATAGCGAATATTGAAGCTCTCAAATATTTATGAACTGTTTCTGGTATGATGCTCTTAATAATTATCAGGTGGTTACCCTGAATATTGTTAGCACAGTAGCCCCCACGAGCAGTGAAGGAGAAGGCAGTGGCGTACAGAGCCGAGCTCCACGTCTACTTTTTCGAGGATGCTGTAGGACGGGGCAAGGTTCAAAGTTTTGGCACCGCAGGTGTCGAGAACCTTCGCCGAGAGAGTCTGAACGACCAAAGAAAGGAGTTCATGAAGTCCAAGCAATTCGAGCGCCACCTCCGTGCCGGCCTAGAAGAAGTTTTGAAGGATCCTCGTCATGATGGCTCCTCCCGTTACAGCCGTGAAGTGAATCGGCTTTTCCTGGCCTGGCTCCCTCAAGGGGACCGGGAATTCCTTGAAGTTTCAGAAGGCTTAGGTAACTCACAAAAAGCTGAAGTAGCCTGGCTTGAACGGAAGGGTTATCCCTACACAGAAAGGGATGTCCCCAGCTGGCTGGCAGCGAAGGGTAGCGAAGTGAATCTCGCTCCCCCAGCATTGCCAAGTGCCTAGGCAGACGTTTGCTGAGCCCCATCTAAAATGTTTGTCCTGCAGCCTGCAGCTCATGACGCGAAGACAGGGCTCATAAGCTTGCAACGTCAGTCATGCAAGTGCTGTTGCACCAGTGGTGACGTGGCCCTGGACTGCTTGCAGTGCTGTTATTGTTAGCTACCCCCGTAGATACCCCACACGACCATGGGGCAAGACAACACTGTTTCTGACGCTAGGACCTCGACTTCCCGAGACCCTCAATGCATGATCAAGACCATTTTCGGAGAGATATTGGTGACACTGCACAACCTATCGCCGTTTCTCGTTGACCTCTTCGCCTTTATCACATGATTCCTAGTGCCCCCATCCCGTCCGCACTAATACTTTAAGCTTCCGGCCCCAGACCCCAGCCGCAAGTATTCAACAGCATGCTGGAACTCCTACTGCCGATCACTGAGGCATTTGGAAAGGATGCCAATGACCCAGATCGAGTCGCAGTACCTTTGGACCACCTGCAGTTCTATTACAGCAGGTACTTCAAGAAGGCCTTGCGCTGGAGCAATCTGAACGGGTCTTCGGGTAGCTGGGAATGAGGGAGTCGAAAATAACATGAAAACTAATATAAGGGGCTATACAGGGGTTACCATAAGGATCCATCCCTCCATTCCGGGCTAAGCAGGGGCCAGTGAAAGGGGTCCTTTGTAATTAGGCGAGGGTATAGTGATTTGAAGCGTTGGAGCTGTTTTCCAATCTGACTGGGCGACTGTTCAAGTGACCGTTTTTGTACCCGACAGCTTTTGAGACGAATCTGCAGTTCAAGGCGACTTCCCCCATGATCCTCTGACGAGTACTTCCAACTATTATCACTCGCCCACTTCGGCAGGCACTGAACCCCAAGACCTTCGGCGTGGACTCTGTTGAGGAGGCCATCACGAAATGGGTCATGTCGTTGTTCAGCTTCGAGAGAAAGTATCTGCCTTTCAGCTTTGCGGCGATCATTTGTAAGATTGTCTCCAGCACAGGAGCACGTCACATGAGCCATAGTCTAAACTCCTAGTATCCCCCTTAGTAACCCCTATACTAGTCACTAGTTCCGTATAGAATCCCCTACTTAAACCCCCTTTCAGAGTATGGCTCATATAGATCCGTGCCTGGCCTGTACGCATCTGACTCTTCACTCCCGAAAACACATTCAGCTTCAGTCCGGCTTTCCACGCCTTAAGGCGCTGTTGCACAGTTGTATAGGCCCCCTAATGTAGATAGAATATAGGGTTTAGGGTTTAGTCCCCCTTAAGTAGATAGAATGTGGCTTTGGGGTGTATGATAATAAGATCCCCATATAGCCTGTATTCGATCTTCTTAAGGGGGGCTAATAACCTGTGGACATTGCAAGCGTGCTAGGTAGTGTCCCATATTGCGTGTTTCTGGTGTTTCCGGATTTTCCATTTTTAGTCTTGGTGTTGGGCTTGTCGAGAGGTGTCTAGTCCGGTAAGCATATGGCTGCTGGACCATTTTAATTTTGTGAACCATACACGATGTACCATCCTTAGCATAGTCAGGCTCATGCAACCTTCCATCCATCAAAGGTAGCCATGCGGGTAACACGTGCCCTACGGATCCAAATTGCCCAATGTAGGTCATGTTTATAGACCTTGGGGCCCAATCTAGACACTATTTGTATACTTGGCTCCCCACATAGCACCTATATAACCCTAGCTTCCATTTCATCATCCCTGCTCTGTTCCATTTGATTCTCCGGTATCCCTTGTACACTTGGATCCCTAAACCCTAATCCCTAAACCCTTCACCCTCATAATACCTAAACCTTAATGGGTCCCTACAGCTGGCAGGTTACCAGGTTGGTCCGCGACACGATCATCGTGACCAAGAACCCCAAGTCTAAGCTCAGGCTGACTTTGGGGGTTGGAGCTGTTCAGGGTTTAGGGTTTAATGTGTATAGGCTTTGGTGTGCATAGGGGATGGGGTTTAGGGCTTAGGGCTTAGGATTTCGGTTTTGGGGTGTACGGTTTAGGGTAGAAAGATTGCCCTAGGGCTCCCAGCTACCAAAATGGTTGGCTACTGGGCTATGCAACTATAGGGTATATAGAACCTAAAACCCATCATCTAGGTAGCTGGAGCCCTAGGGTTAGACAACGAGTATCTTCTTGCTGAGCCTTCTGCCTTGGGACTGTCTTCGGGCATGGCTAGGGAGGGGAAGGGCAAAGGTTCTTGCGACTTGGGCTCAATTCATTCATGCTGCATTTGTTCCTCGTGGTATGTCATGGTGCTGGTGGGGTCTACATCTGGAATTCGAGTGTATAAAGAAGTTCCCGGAGAAGGGGAGGTGCATGGAGCCTTTGATGCAGGAGCTGGGCGTCATGCTAGTAATGCTCGTTCGCATATATGTTCAAAGGGGCACTGATACCGCACCTTACTGGCTGTTGTAGGGAATAAGGCAATATAATGCCTCTATAGTCCCTATATTAAATATTCCTTTATTCCTTACTAGCCCCCCGGGAGTCACTGGCAAGGCTTGTGCTCCAATGAAACGCTCCGTGATATGTCCCACTGCTGACATGGAGCACTGTTACATACTGGGATTTTGTAGGAGTCCCTTATTCCCTAAGCCAGTGAGACTAGCAGCAGGATCGCGATAGTCTTGCGGTTGTAATCATCATGATTCTTGGCGTTTCTTGCTCTCATTATTCTTGCTCTGTTTGTTGGTGCCATGTAGGCCAGGTCTTGCAGTTCAGCTCCAGCTTGAAGCTTTCAGTTTTGGAACCTGCAGGGAGAACATGCCGGGTTTAGAGTTTAGGGTGCCCCCCCCCTGAGTGCTGATTTTGTGTCACGCTTATTGGCTAATTGCATATCCTCTTCATCCACCACCCCAACTACGACTTGCCAGGGTGATTGAGTCTCAGCTCCCTGATGAGATGGAGCACCCTGGCTGAGGACTTGTATGGGTTTTCTTGACGTGTGAGTTGCTGTCAATAGCAGGGTTACAAAGGGACCACTAAGGGTGGACATAGGTTTTGGTAGTTAGTGTAGTCTCTAACAAGTTCCCTAATAGGGACCCATGCCCATCAACTAATTACATTGAAAATTATTTCGCTACTGTAGTTCATGTGGAACTGGTGATGAATCAAATGGCAGCCATACAAGCTCAGGAACAGACAAAGTGCGCATTGCAATACCCAAAACGCATGAGTTAGGTGCTGGCAAAAGGAGGCTAAGCCCCGCTACATCCCGTACCGACCCACACCCATTTTGGGGTTTATATAGGGAATAATGGAAAACAAAACGGAAACTACTATAATATGAAAGGGTATATACTGGGATTATACTTAGGACTTTTAAAAGCTGGGGGCAACCATGACCCTAAACCCTGAACCCTAAACCCTGAAGCCTAATCACCGTGAAGAGGGAGCCATGAGACGAAAAAACAGTTCTGCTGTTTTATAAGCAAGCCCTATAAATCTTGAACCAGTCTTTTCAGTCTTTGCCTAAACCCACTTCTCCCCCCAAGCACTAGAGCCCCAAAGACTGGAACGCCATAGCGAAGAAAAAAAACAAAACGTCGAGATCTTTATGCCAGCTCGTGGGAGCAAGGTGCCTCAATGTCTTTATCATGCTCGCTGAGGACGGACAGTAGACTTGACGCAGAAGCAGTCCAGTTTTGGATTAAGATTAAGGGGTTCAGGGTTTAGGAACTCTGCCGGATCGGAGAGACTCGTCGACCTCCCAAAGGCCCCCATGTCACCTCAGGGTCCTTTAGGGATAGCCCGGCAACCCTCTTCCTTGCCTGGCCCTTACAACGAAAAACCCAAATCATAAACCCTAGAACCTGAACCTTCGACCCTAAACCTTAGACCATAAAAGCCCAATCTCTAAACCCTAAACCCTAGCATGGGAAAACAGGTGAGCGCTGCAATGAACTAGGGGCCCTGTTCGCTGTTTTCCTGACAGCGTCTCAGAATGAGACGTGTTCCAAAGCGACAGTTCCTGTGGGTAGCTGTCAGAAGTTCAACCTGGGCCTTTCTTGCGACCATCTCTGCATACCACCGGAACACATCGGAACAGGAGCATCGGCGCGAACGACAGAGGCGATTGGACTTGGGCCGGAACCCCAGACCTGCCAACTCCAGTCGGCGTTGGGCTTAGTAGGTTTGCACACCCATTTTGCGCTATTTGAAATCAATAGCGAATCTCTTGGACCATTGGACATGTTTTCGGAATCTCAGCAGGCAGGTGAAAGGCATTAGTAGGGGTCGTCAATACAAAGAAGAATAAGACGGGTTTTGGTGGAGGTGTAAGTATGGCAGATATGCGTTTCATATTCAGCGGTTAGTCGGCAGGTACCTGGCCGCGAACATGCTCACAAAGTCGGCGTCCTGCTTGGGTCTTTGATCTCGGTGCTTCTCCCATCATATTGCAGTGATTTTAAACATGTTCGTGTGGTCAATCCATTTCATTGGCCGCGCAACTGCTGAAACACACACAGACAAAAGGCATCCACCGCTTGAACAGGGAAAACCTCTGGATGTTGGGCAGCTACAGGTTATAAGCGCAGTGTAACAGCAGTTTCCGGTCGCGAAGTAAATCCTCCTTCCATGCTCATCTGGGAGTTTCGCCGGGTCAGCAGGTTTCTCGGAAGCTTGCCTTCAAAGGTCCCAGCAAACCATGCCAGAACCTGTCTTCCTGTCCTCCCTCGAACTGACACGGAACACCACATAGCAGATATTTGGCAAGGCCTGTAGCCTATTAGTTGTTGGGATCCAATTTGGGGTTCCACGTTCGCTCTGAAGAGTATACCGACCCTGTTTGACCACCGCGAAGCCCTTCTTCAGACCCCATTCTAAGTACATGAATGATAGCAATATGGGGGAAAATGTAATATATAATAGTTTGGGAGAGTGTGCAGGTGATGATTCAGCGAAGTTGCTTGGCGGCATTTTTAGCCGTGCTTCTGACGCTTTGGCGCGGGTGCCTTAACGACGCGTAGCCTGGGGGCTCTGAATTCA